GAAGCGAGTTCACGGTCAAGTTGACCAGTGGTCACTAAAGAATAATAGTTTTTAATTGAAGGAACTAATTTAAAAGGGACGTTTTGTTGAATGGAACAGCTGACTTTTACATTCTTTTCAGAGTCTCTGTCCTGCACATTAATGATGCCCACTTCAGTACCAGGTGACACATTCTCTGCTAATGGATTTGACAGTGATTCTACATGTATCACTGGAGAATTATCGTTCACATCAGTGATAGAAATGATCACCTTAGCATATGTTGACAGTCCCAGTCCATCTTTTGCCTTCACACGGATTTCATATGAAGTGCTTGATTCATAGTCAGCTGTGCCAATTACAGCGATTGTTCCCACTTTACGATCAATACTAAATGTCTTCTTCACATCTTCTGTAACATGTCCAAAATCATAACTCACATCTCCATTCACTCCCTCATCAGCATCAGTAGCGCTAACTTTAATCACTATTGTGTTAGGAGGAGAATTTTCAGGCAGGCTGCCTTTATAAACGGCCTGGCTGAATACTGGGGAGTTATCATTAGTGTCCAGCACGGTAACATGTATGACCACTGTGCCTGATCTCCGAGGAGAGCCGCCATCTAAAGCTGTGAGAAGCAAATTCATCTCACTTTCCTTTTCACGGTCAAGTTCTTTGTCAAGAACGAGCTCTACTGTGTTACCACTGACAGACAAAACGAAATTATCATTTTTCTTGAGCAAGTACTGCTGAACTGAATTTTGTCCTACATCCGCATCGTGGGCCTCCTCTATCACAAAACGAGCCCCTTTGTCGGCTGACTCGCTTATCTCCAAATCAATTAAGTCATCCTGAAACAGAGGGGCGTTATCATTTATATCTTGAATGTGCAGATTCATTCGATGAAGTTCGAGTGGATTCTGCAGCACAACCTCATGTTTCAGGACGCACGAAGCCTTGTCACCACAAAGCCCCTCTCTGTCAATCCTGTCCGCCACAATCAGCTCTCCGCTTCTGGCGTTTAGATCACAAAAACGTTTTCCGCTCCCGTCGGCGTCGATGCGCGCTTTTCTGCCGGACAGCGCGCTCGCCTCCAATCCGAGATCCTTGGCTAAATTCCCAATCACCGATCCTCGTTGCATCTCCTCGGGAAAGGAAAAGCTCACGTCTCCGTGTGAGGAATGAAACAAAAGGAAAAGGAAATAAAATGTGTGCGCCTGAAACCGGGTGCACTTCGACGCCATCATCCGTTCAAAAGACGTGGACATGAGATATATACAACACAGAGGTCCAAAATATAATTGTACACTTTACAGGAACGACAATCTGATGTTATCCTCCCTCCAGCCCAAATGCTTGTGCGGCCAAACGCCCTTCCACAAGAGAGAAAGACTCGTAATTTCAAGATTGGTCTATATCGCCATCTTGAGTCGACTTGCACTATCACACTTACTCAATATAATAGGAAGGAAGTGCACGAATTCAGTGTTGAGTTTAATTTTAAATTGCCGCCTGTAATGTGTTTTTCACGAACAGAATGCAATGGAAATTACTTATCTAGATTGAGGAAATGTGCAAAATATTAGGCAGCACTCAATTTGTAAATTCATCAATCTCCTGTTTTGATATCAATCCTCACACACTATAATCTAACAGAAGCATATGCGCCCTTAAAAAGTCTTTTGATGCATCGTATCTTCAAAAGATATATCCTTCATATGTTGTCTTCACTAATCAAGAACTGTAACTTGCACAGTGCCCTGAGAG